TCTAATTCCGATCATCATATGTTCTTTTGTTTATCTCTTTTCAGCTTTCCCTGAGGATTCTGAGTTAGGCTTTGTCTTATGATACAGTTTCATGGTTTCCTTAGAGTGTCCCATCCATCCTAGTGTCTTTTCTTGACTAACTCAACGAGCAGCTCGTTTGTTGTCTGTCATATGAGGTTATCACTGATAGTCTTTGGCTAATGGGACTTGGGTATGTTGCGTAGGCATCTGCTTCTAAATACTCGTACGTTTTTGGTGATATTGATGGTAGTTCTCCAAGTTTAGGCTTCGTACTTTTCTAACGTTAGTGTTGAAAATCTTAACTTTGGTATTGGCTGACAGTTGTTTTGAGTTCTAGGTGTTCTTCAAATGTAGGAATCCTGCTCTCACTTCCGCAATTCATGCCTTAACTTTATCGGATCATCCTCATTTATCAATGGAACCTCCCAAACGTGCGATATCGAAATCAAGTGTGATTCGGTTAGTACTGGCTCCATTGTACTTTAGGATTTTGCTTTTTCTCTTATGAATGTTGAGGCATACTTTTGATGAAGCCACCTCTACACTCACTTTCTTTATCCGCACCTGTCGTGTATACAGTAGGTCTGTGTCATCTGAAATGTCCACTGCATTCCGGGCTTCTGATATGTAGAAGTCTTCATAATCCAGTCAACCACCAGAAGGAAAGGAAAAGATGAGAGCAATCGCCTATGTCTAGCATCAATCTTCACCTGAAATGGATCTGTGGGATTCCTCACACATGCAACTGCGACCTAGTCCGTCGTGGGAACTCCGTATGATAACGATCTCGGGTACTCCATAATGTCAAATAGGGTTCTCTAGTTGCCATGTATCTGTCTCCAGTTAGGTCGTATGATGATCGTTATCGCGGTACGTATGCCACCAACCCTCGTACATTTATATCGCGTTAGAGAATAACGGAATAAAATAAGACAAATATGAAAATGAATTTTAGATTTGTATATTTCATAGACCTATTGATCCGGACAGACAATAAAAAAAACGAAACGAAGTGGAAAATATCGTTGAGTAAATGTAAGAACAAACCAACGCGCAGTGGAGAGAGAGAGATCCAACTTGGTCTAACCAAGCGTAATTCAAATATCTATAGTCAGACCAAAAATATGTTACAAACACGTAATGAATAGGGTAAGCGATCATCATACATACGATCATATAAAAAGTTGGGGTTAATAAGCGAATAATCAAAGAGGTCAAAATGTGGCTTAAGAACAAATAAATTGGTCTGTCCAGACGCTAGAAGAATCTGTGTGGACTTGACAGTACCAACCACTACAGTTCCACAAGGTGGTCCACGCTGCCGCATGCCTTCCCATAATCAAGTGAGCTGACATATTGGTGAATTTCATTCCATGGGTTGTTCAACCATGATTCACAGTGTCGTTATGTAGTTGGTACACTATCTATCCTTACGATAGACATTTTTCTGGTCTAGAAACTGGGTGCCTACTGAATCTTTCATTCGGTCTAGCAACACTGTTAAAAACAATCTGGCACTAACAATAGTGTGATCCTTCTGTACTACTTTCAACCAAGATTTTCTTGTGATATCTTGATTAGGCATCCCTCTTTATAGTCTGTTAAAACCTGATCTTTATCCCAAATCTTCATGAAGAGGACGGTGAGTCTTTGAAGTTACTTCTATTCGCCTTTAGTGCTTCAGCTGGGATGCTATGTTATCATAGTAACTTGTCATTCCTGATTTGTTTAATGGACTTTCAATTAACAATCTAAGAGGAAACTACAACGGGATCGCCACTGACTTTTCTTCTGAGCCACCTCTGATAACTTTTCAAGGCACTGAGTTCCATTATGTCCAAGACCATGGTCACGGAGTCACGACAGACTGACAAATCCCAGTCCCATACAGTTTCCTTTCATACCAAAGCGCTGTGTCATAAATTGCTCTCAAATGTCATGGTATTTCAGAGGGTAAGGCGAGTGTTGTCTTATCCCCTGTTAAATATCACGTGACTAAATTGCCAATTTGGACACCGACTTGCGTGACCTTGGCACTGTGCCAAATTAATGGTGCGTTAACCAGTACGAGTATCCTAGAGTCCTTATTGATTCTTCTTGCTCTTTAAGACAAGAACACAATCAGAGCTCCCACTACATGCATATTGTATTTCAGAAATACGTAGTTGATATACAGGCAAGTCGGAACGCATCATACCATACAATAGAAAACAATAATTATACAAGTTTAAGCCAAAAGTGGCTAAGAGTGTGAGAGACTGTAACTAATAAATCGGGAGTAAGTTAGGAATGGTTAGTCGTATAATATTAGTCAATCGATCAAATGGAAGCTTATAATACAGGGAATATAAATATACATATAATATAGTTACTTAACAGTTATCCAGAAAGAATATATGTAACAACAGTCCATAATTAATTCTTAGTAGTTGCCATCCATTTATTCTTCGTTAGGATAAAAAAAGAGTCCGTTTCTCCTCTCAAAATATTCCCATATGACCCAGTATTTGAAGCCTCTGACAGGGTATTCCTAATTAACTTCAGGTGACAGAAATGTGGTTTGCATAAATGGGCAGATGTGAAGCGAATGTGCGGTACTTAAATCGAGTTGATGGATACTGAGGATACACCAAATGGAGTTGGAAAACCAATTTCAAACTGATGGTGCGTATCGGCTGCAGGATCCTTAGGGAACAAAAGGCATTCTAATCTAATTTAGTTATTGGGCATCCGCTTTAGTTTTACGAGTTAGATAGTATTAAAATCCTTCAAACATAAAAGTACAAGTCATAATTTATGACATACTTGGAAGATAAATTACATTATCATTTTATTTTAAACAAAATGTTTATAAATTAAACCTTTATATAGCCGTCAGTTGCATACCATAGATATCAGTGTTTTATGGCTTAAATATTATCTCATTAAACTTGAAAATTAAAGAATCTAGAACAGTATTTTAGTGTGTTTTTTTAGCTATGGTTATTATTTTAATAGTTGAGATCATGAATCAATTGAAGTTAGACCACCATAGAAGCACTGGAAGACCGCTTCGTTCTACTGTGGCACTTCTCAGTAGTGCTCATCCACGATCCCGCCTCGCGAGATTGAAGTTCAGGACTTATCGGTCTCGCACGCAAGCGATTAACCACTAGACCACTGAGCCGTCCGGCATCCAACGGTGTTAATATCTAGCTTCAATCAATCCACGAAATTGAACGACACATCCACCATTGTCATCAGTGAGTTACTATCTCTCAGAAGACCCGATTGAAATCCACTGATCACTGCTTATCACTAGAATCCCAGGAAATACCTCTTCAACCCGTCACTAGTGAGCATATGTTGATTAGTATCAGATTATTTTTATTCCAGATATGAAAATATATGGACTCAGATATAGCAGAGACCCAGTGAATTGTATCAATGTGTGTTATATCACCTCCTTTTTTTACTTAGTTCATTTGTGTGTTTGAAAACTATGTTCTCATATGCATTTTTACGAATACCCTATAAAATCGTCATCCAAGTTCATTGATGTTTATTGTTACAATATACGCTTTCAGGCTTCTGTTTATTGAAATATATAAATTCACTTGGTATTGTTTACCTGAATCTTCCTATTGATATTCAAGACTGTAATTGATCAGCCTCTTATTGGCATATGTGCATACTGTGCGTATCGCCTCGATATTGCCTTAATTTACAAGCATTCTGAGTAAAGATGGGTAGTGGCTAGCAGTGAGATCCAGTTTGACGCGCTCTTCTCCCTATTTGGAACTGAATGCACCTGCATCTCAGAGTTGATGTTCACTCCGGGACTTGGACTCAGTACCGTTCGCTCAAAACGTCATCGCGTTATCTACTTAACTACTGAGTTCTGATAGCTCAATAGTTAAAATTACATTCAAATAATATACATTTTAAACCAACGCCTATCAATTTTCTTGAAACTATTTATTCTTTCATTAATTAATGATGTAACTCGAACGCTGTTGCTACCTTGGCGTGATAGTCGGGCTTGCCTACCATGATAAACCAATCGACCTATACCGACTGGAACAATCGTTCCTCAAGGTTCTTCATGCCGGACATGTTGGTTGAAGAGCGGTGAGCTTAAAAGCAACTAACCCAAGGTCTGAGGGCGAAGTCATACTGCTGATTGTACAGAGGTGTGACGGCAGTAAGGTGTTTCCTTCAGACAACCAGCATAACAGCGATGCTGTCTTCCCACATAGAGGGATTGGGTTAGAAAAGGTCTATCCTAAAACTGCACACCTCGCCTCATCTCACGGATTTCCGTCTCCAGTGGTATAGATCTAACACGAAAATTACCCACAAAAAGGTCGTGTGTGCCCGACCTCAAACAGTTGTTCCTTGGACAGTGTTGTCACGCTCTCAGGTCACTAAGATCACCTCTAATCCAATTTCCTTTTCAGGTACCTCCAAAAGAACCCTTCCACTGTGTGAGCAACCAGGAAGTGATAACTGCCCTCACACCTCTATCATTACTCAAGACTGATGGTAGACTAATTACAATTGTTAGTTATACCAGTTTAATCGTACGATATCCAGTGTATAATATATTATCAACACTTTTCTTTGCCTCCTTACTCCATTGTTATGTAACTAACAATTTCTTATTGAAAGTAACACCTTCAATTATATATCAATGACATAGATTATAATAACATATACTTTAAAAGCTTTTATTTTCCATAAAGATATTCAATATCTTTCAATGATTAATCAAGAAACTGTTCAACAACAAAAAATATATTGAATTTTGATAATAAAAAATAATAAAAAGAATTTAAGGTATATACATTTGAGTTTTAATTCCGCCGGAAGCCCTTCTGAGGTTATTGCTAGTCTCAAGCTTGGATAAAGAAGGAGGGTTAGGCATGACGGGTAGGTGGGGTGGGGTGGGGTGGTGTTAGTGACCCCATACTGTAGATAACAAACAATAAATTTAGTTACTATTTGATTTTTTCATTTCTTTATTAGATTTTAAATGTAAAATTTCTGTTTTTAATAATTCAATTTCTTCAATTAATTTTAAATTTACTTTTTCTAAATTATCAGCATATTTTTTTAAACTTAATTCTTTAGTTTTTCTTGCTCTACGTGAACGTCTAGCAGCTTCATTATTTTTAACTCGTTTCTCCCAATATGCTTTATCTTTTACTTCAGATGGTGTCATTTCTGGGAAACGTCTCATACGTGGATTACAATCAGTATGTTTAATATTTGTTGAATCGTTATTATTATTATGATGATGATTGGCATCGATTAATTCAGAATAACTGGAATAACAACTAGGTGTTGATGAAATAGATCTGATTGATTGTGCCGTTGTTGTTGTTGTTGTTGTTGTGAGTAAATCAACAGGTTTGTCGAGTTTACAAAGAGTTTCTAAAGATTTTGTTGTAGATAATGTCTCGTCAATTGTTATATTTTTATTATTATCATTAGTATTTTCTGATTGATTGAATGGTATTAACACAATTGCTGAAGCACTTTGAGATCTCCGTGATTTTATTTTAACCGTTGATTTTCGTTTAGAATTATTCCCATTTGTTGTAGGAGTAGAAATTACTGATGTTGGTGAAAGAGGTGGTGTATATGATGTGGTTTTTTGTTCAATATTATGTTCCATAGATTTGGATTGATCATCATCGGTTTCAGTTTTATCAATAGTATTCACTAATAATAAGGGATCAATAAGTTTAGAAGATTTCAATAAAAGTTCTGTAGAAATTGATGGAACTGTATTACCAAATGCTTTAAATGGTCTACGACTAGATGTTGATCTTGGACGTTTCTGATCAGATTCATTTATTTGTATCGAATCTTGAATATCTGTAATCCAATTATTCTGACATAATTCTGCACCATTTATATTATTATTATTATTATTATTATTATTATTATTATTTGTAGATGAGGATGTGATACTTTCTGACTGTTGAATCATTTCAACTTGACGATTGGTCTGAGTATCTTGATTTGTTGGATTGAGTTTTTCTGAAGTGTTTGTTATCTTCATAGTTGTGGATGATGTTGCTTTTGTTTGTGTACGTGTCCTATTTGATTTCCGTCTACAAGGAATTTTAGAATTTTGATTATCCAACTTTTTCTTAGTTAATTCATCTGATTTTATTGTTGTAAATGATTTCAAAGTTAAATCTAACGGTTTCTCATCATCTTGATCATGATTGATCAAATTATCAGTATTTATATTTATCTGTGGATAAGCAGGGGATAGTAATGATACATTGTCTGATCGACGTCCAAATGGAAAACATGATGAAGCTCTTACTTTTGTTGCTATTTGTGGGAAACATGACATTAATAATGATGATGATGGTGATGATGTTACTATTTGTGAAGATGATATTGAATGTGATAAATCTGAGGTTAAATTTAAAATAGATGGGCTTGTTGACATTGACAAAGCAGTGATAATTGGTGAAACCCAATTTAGATTTAAATTATAAGGTATTGTCATTATTGAAGTGGTAACTGGTGAATAAGATTCATTGTTTAATACATTGACATCATCAGGTATCTGTAAGAATATATACACATCCCAAATTAAATTTGATAATCATCTTATTAATAGTAGAAAACAATCAAAGTTAATCGTTTATGAATAAATAATCATCTGGAATAACTCGTTAACAAATAACTTCATAAAATTGCACTGATTATATTACATTGTCGGAATGCCATAAAACCATGTTCAGTGCGTACAGTATCATCAAACATACAAAACCACCTGAAATAATCTAAATATTGATTGACCAACCAGGGTGGTAGCTACCCTTAGGCCCCCGGATGCCCTGGTACGGCAGAGAGTGGATAGAGTCTGCTCTCCCTCTCCAAATGCTCTCACATGTCCATGTGAATACAATCAATGCCACAAAACTCACATTCACTGCCTTCTCGTGACATTACGAAATTGACAACACGAAAAGCGAATGTCCGTCGCTTTAACTGGGTTGGTGGATATGGAGAGTCTACCTAGGAGAGTTGGAAAACCCTGATTCCAAATCAATGGTGCACATGGGCTGGCTCCAGGATCCTGAAGGAGCAAATGGTGTATAAACCCATTCTTGGTTACCGGCTACCATGGTACTGCATCTCCTAACATTGCTCCACTACATTGTGGATTAGAACTTTAGGTCAAAGGTTCGGTGTGTGGCACCCTAAGCAAACCACCTGCTTCGGTTTTGGCACCAGGGCAGTATTCCATCCCTCACATAAATCAAATGATTTATGTGGTGCATATCTGTTTGGCGCCTCCATGTACAAATGCTTATGTGTTTAAACAAATAAAATAAAATTCGTGATTAAACTATTCGACTTTTCATTGCATAATAACGAATTAAAAGCCTCATTTACTTCTTTGGTTTATTCATTCAAGTAGTATCACCATTACAACCTTACACGACTGAGTGCATGAAGTTATATATGTGTATGTATTAGGGAAGTATATTGATCAGAGTGATTGTGGTGAAAGAAAATGAATCACTTTATGTCATTTACTATGAATGAAACCTCGATTATTCTTGAAGCACTTTACACTTATGAAAGTATCTAGTGAAGCGTTTTAGATAAAAAAAATACTGTGTTATTTGGTGACGCTGTAAATCCTCATCAAGTAAGGTGACTACGAGATGTATTACTTATACCCGCGAAGTCCCATGTATATGTCCACAGTCTGGAAGTAATTGGTTTTATGACTCTGAAATATTGTCCAAATATAGTGAGACAACAAAATGATTATTTCTTAGGTTTAGACACAAGACACTGTATACAGATGGCATATCGATTTATGAATCGGTGAGTTATCCTGACTGGATAGAATAAGGTTAGGGGAAAGCTATAGGTGGCTAAACTAGAATGTGGCTTAAGTTCATAAAGTTACTGAGTAGATACAGATGACCTGGTTGGTATCCGAGCAAGAGTCTACTACTAATTAATAATCATAATCTTTCTAGTATTATATTATCCAGTCGGTTATGGTTAACATATGTAATCTGGCACAGATGTTCGTCAGCCCAAGTTTCCATATAATATCAACATAATGAGATAAAATTAACAAAATAAATGACAAGGAATTCTAAATAATTATAGCATTAATGAAAATGTGAAAGACTTAATATTGAGATAATGATTCAGACAGTACAGAAAGAAATATATCTGAATTGATATTGGATCTGAAGATTAAAAGTAATATAAGCAATAAGTAAATCGACGCCATTCTAATCGATCTTGAATCATATTACCAAACGTCTCCAACAACTGATCATGCTTATAAATCAGACCTTAGCCACGTAGTCTAGACTCATAGACATAGCTCAAATCGATAGTCAATGACTTCATGAATATAAGTTACATGATGATTTGGACATACCTAATTTTTTTTCCAACAAACTTCTACTTTAATCAATATTACACTTTGAATTAGACAGTGGTTTGATATATATTACACATATCCTAGCCACATCGCTCAATGAACATTCAGTTCTATAAACCATTTTTGTTTAGTTCTCTAACCAGCATAACTCACTTGATAATACGTGAAGTTATGTACCTTGTACTATGGCAACTGATTACCATTTATGAATAAAATCACACTGAATTTATGAAATCTCAGTAAGTGATGTGGTTAATGGAAATTCAAAGAAAATTGTATCAGATAAGGGTTTTTGTGGATATTATGGTAATTTAATAGTTGAGTTCAGGAGTCAATTGAAGCTAGACCACCATGGAAAACCTGGAAGCAGTGGATGGCCGCTTCATCCTCGTATGGTACGACTGAGCAGTGCACATCCACGATCCCGGGTCGCGAGATTCGAACCCAAGATCTACCAGTTTCACGCGCGGACGTTTAACCGCTAGACCATTAAACCGGCATCCTTTACTCACAATGAATTATTTGTTAATACGTTGTTGCTATTATTAGTATTATCCAATGCGTGAATAAAACTCATCGATTAGGACCGATGAAATTGTTACAAATTGCCAAAATTTATGTTTAGATTAAAAATGATTCAAAAATACTCAATACTGATCAATCATGAACTTGCATTGTAGGTAAGTAACTGATTAAGCTGATGATAGATGGCCTAACATATATATATATACTAGTAACTTGGGTCAGAGGAATAATGTATCCAATGTTACAACATATTAACTGACATGTCAGTTATGCATAGTGGACATACAAACACAATCACGATGATAAGGAAGAAAATAACAGTTATTTGTTCCTAACTAATCAATACTCGATACGTATACGTGTGTATGACAACGACTCATTGAATCTGAATATCAATATATACTGGTATCGATGTAAATGAAAATAGTTGTAATATTATTCATTTTGCTCACTATTCAATTTGATAACCAAAAACTATATTTTATTAGTTGAATTCATGAGTTCATTGAAGCTAGACCACTATGAAAAACCTCGTGCACTAACGCTTAACTGATAGGTCCTGGATTCGAATTGTGCGAGTCCGGATCGTGGATGTACACTGCCAAGGAGACCTATACTAGGACGAAATGGTCATCCAAGTTTTTCATGGTTGTCTAGCTTCAAATGATCCATGAATTCAACTACTAAATTGTTATAATATCCACAAAACCGATCTACGATTACAAAAACTTTTACGTTCATATGTTACATTTGGAATGTGACTACATATGAGTAGGATCAATATATTACACAAAATACCCAAAATAGTAGAAAATTATTATGGTAAATTATAAGAATTTAATAGTTGAATTCATGAGTCAATTAAAACTAGACCACCATAGAAAACCTAGAAGCAGTGGACTTCTGTTTCATTCTGAATGGGACTCCTCAACAGTGAGCACCCACGATCCCGCCTCGTGAGATTCGAATCCAGGACTTATCAATCTTGTGAATTCAACTATTAAATTATTATAATATCTACAAAACCTCTCTAAATTATAAGAAGTGAAAAAAAGTATTCAACTAATATAGAGAGGATTTGTTTACAACATTCTATGAAAAATTTGATCTATGTTAATGATCTATTAATTTTTGATTGAGATCATGAACCGATTGATGTTAGACTATCACAACTGGGAACCTGGAGGCACTGGACGGCCGTTCCGTCCCATCGTGGGACTCCTTAGCAGTGCGCATCCACGACCCCGCTCGCGGGATTCGAACCTAGCGCCTTCGGTCTCGCGCGCGAACGCTTTACCAATTGGACCACTGAGCCGGCATCCAACGGTGATCGTTTCTAACATCAACCAATCCACGAAATTTCGCGACCAACTTCTGTTGTACTGAGGTAGATTCCTGTCTCTACCCGACAAGGATTAGCTCCACTGGTCACGGCTTCTCACTAGAACTCTGAGAATTCCCTCACGAAGCTAGTCACTAGTGAGCACATATTAATTACTAGTATAGGGGTTGTGGAGATTATTAAGTTTTCAATTGTGATGGTCTAACATCAATCGGTTCATGATCTCAATCAAAAACTTAATAATCTCCACAACTCCTATACTATTGATCTATCAATTACTTGTTTGCATATTTTATCGTTTCGATTCCATCCCTATCATACAACATGGTTATAGAAATATAATCAACCAAAAAGGGAAGGTTACTCTCTTAAATAGCCAGTTCAGTAATTATGTTTCAAGAAAATGAAAGGATGTTTCATTGAATGAACCCATTTTTTTCAGAGATGAGAGATATTATTTAACAGAATAAAAAGAATAATCAGGTCGACATTTTTTGTATCAATATGTTATGAGTATTGATTTGGGTAATCAGTATGAACTGGTTCAATGTAACTCTTTAAAGTCATTACTTATTTTGTATCAATTCAAGAATGACAAGTGTGAACTTTCATTCAATATGACAAATGTATTTTAATAGTTGAGATCATGAGTCAATTGAAACTAGACAACCGTGAGAAACCTGGAAGCACTGGATGGCTGTTTCATCTTAGTATAGGACTCCTCTGAAGTGTGTATCCACGATCCCCCCTCGCGAGATCAGAACCCAGGACCTATCAGTCTCACGCTCGAACGCCTAACCTTTAGACCACTGAATCAGCCGGGATCCAATTGTGTTAATGTCTAACTTTTACAATTAATCCACGAAATTGTATTCCCTGTATCCATCCAGGTGAACTCTATTCAGTGTGTATCTATCCGTACACTAACTCCCTTATATGTGGTACTAGTTTATGTAAAAATTACTATATAAATGATTGTATTTTGGTTTAATGTTTATATGATTTGTGGAAGTAAGTTTGGAAAGTCAGTACATTTTCATCACTAAAGTCCTTCATGTTCTTTCTTGATACCTTGGGAATTACAATGTTTCCCGTTTTTAAATTATAAGCAATAAGATTAGGGAATTTCAATAGTCAAATAGAAGTACTAAAACTGTAAACAAAACATAGTTGACAGGTACAATAATAAAGGTAAGATGCAAGATATAACACATTCTTT